AGGACAGACAGTCAGGTACACCTGTATGGACGGGTATCAGCTGAGGGGGACTGCTAATATAACCTGCCAGCCGAACGCGACTTGGAGTGGTGCTGCACCAACTTGTGGAGGTAATGAAAAAAAGTATAAAAGTATTGACGTTGGGTAGAACTTCTAAATTAAGGTATACATGCGTAAACAGGTATCATTGATCATCATGTTCAAAATGGCTTTTTTAATGACTTATCCCGTTGAAATTTTAGTAGTACAGAATTAACCCTATTCATTTGGGGGCCTAGTTATTATCATCGCATGATTCCTTAATATTCAGATGAAAGTTTAAAAATAAAATTGAGGTTGTGGAAGTCGCATGTGATTTTATAACGTACACTAGAACCGTATTTTAGATATGTTACTGTGTAGACATGTGAATACTTTGCCTTTGGGAACGCATCTATAACCACAGGCACCTGTGCTGTGCAGTGTGAAGCAGTTAAAACATACTATTAGGCGACATGCCGCCAAGTTGACATCGCTGTACTCGGTCTAAGCAAACACGGTGTTTTTGTGAGTTTTGTTGAAAAGGAACGTACTCTGTGCAATACGGATCATAAGTTGTTACTTCTGATCATGGTGAAACCAATTCACGGAAAGGCTGGCGGGAACAAGCCATCGCTCTTTACAGTTAGTTCAGTCGCATTCGCGAACCGTTGTCAGAGAGCTATCTTCTCACTTCGCATTTCGTACCCAACCGCCAAGCCACGTCGAGAGTTCCAGGCAGGTTTCTTGAGCGTACTGTACGCAGTTGGTCTTCTTGCAAGTTAACAGAAATTTTACGAGCCAAATTATTCCGAAAACGAAGGCCACGCAGAGCACAGGAAACTGTCCCGACTGGTCTTAGTGATGTACAATGTTGTTCCAAATATGCGGTAAAATGGCATAGCAACATCAAACGTCTCGAAATCATCATCATCATCATCATCTTAAGTACTGCTGAGCCCAATATTGACATTGGATTACTAGCAGCTGCACATGTTGTTAATTACAAAACAAGTGACCGGTACAAGTAAAAACAAGGGCAATTAAAGGAGGGGACACTACGGAACGTAAATAACTGAGTCTGTTGGTGTAAAGGACAAGACAGTGCATTTAGTGTGTTAGTAGGACATATATATATACATATATAAAGACGTGTAGGGGCGACTCAATGCAGCAGGGTCCTCGCCAGTCCAGATTTGAACTGGGCGAGGGACCCCGCCTCCGCCACACCAGGCTCAAGTTCGTTCCACTCTTTGATGGTACGAGGGAAGAACGAGAGCCTAGTAAAAGTTGTTCTACTCGCGATGGTCTGCAGCTTGAGAGCGTGGTTGGTGCGGCGGGAGCATCGAGTCGCCGGGACAACTCTAGATGCGTGCGGCACAGAAATAACATTGTTGGTTATC